CCCCAGAATCGTTTTCGTGGCCTCCTTTGGACCCGCTCCAGAATGTCTGAGCCACCCCTCCAGATATCTGAGGGGTGGCTCGGACGTGTAGCACCAAGACCGAAGCGAAAAATGGCCCTGCCAGGGTGGGGAGGGAGTCGTGGTGTAGTACTAGGTGCAGACTGGGATGGTAACTCGAGACTGTACTCAGGTGACTTGCAAAGCACCGAGACAAGACGCCCTAGGATTGTAGTTGTTTATTGTCAGCGTTCAGTTTGGAGGTAAGATATATTGCTGATCACAATTAATGGTAACTTGAGACTGTACTCAGGTGACTTGCAAAGCACTGAGACAAGACGCCCCAGGATTGTAGTTGTTTATTGTCAGCGTTCAGGTTGGAGGTAAGATATATTGCTGATCACAATTACTGTTTATGTGTTGTTTTTTTTTTTCCTGTTTCTTGATTGTCAGGATGCTTCAGCAAGTTCCTTTGTAGCCTCTACTGCTAAACCATCTTGAGACTGTACTCAGGTGACTTGCAAAGCACTGAGACAAGACGCCCCAGGATTGTAGTTGTTTATTGTCAGCGTTCAGGTTGGAGGTAAGATATATTGCTGATCACAATTACTGTTTATGTGTTGTTTTTTTTTTTCCTGTTTCTTGATTGTCAGGATGCTTCAGCAAGTTCCTTTGTAGCCTCTACTGCTAAACCATCTTCTGCAACTAAACCAACATCAGCTCTTCCTCAGAGATGTGAAGCTTCTGCTGGTAGGTTTTACCAAAGTTTAAAAGCTACTCTTCTGAATTTGTATTTCCAACCTGCGAACTCTTAACAGCTCTAAAATGTTGTTAAGAGGTGATATTTTATACTACTTACAGCGCTACTATTTGTTATCTGTATGCAAGGGGAATAAAGAAACTCAATGTGAGATTAAGAGGTGTAAACTCAAGGGCGTTAAACTCTTGTCTAGACATTCTGATAGAAAACTAATCTGAAATTGGGTTGTCTAAAATAAACATGTCTCTTGCTTTCTGCACAAGGCTTTGAACTGCTCTTTTACTATGCCCTCACTCTTGCCCTGCTTTGTTTATGAAATCTTTTTAATAAACACAGTGTAAATGACTGAAAATCCCTGTTGGCGAAACAGTCCATTTTTATTTCTTTTGCAAGAATTGCAAAAGAGTTTTCTGGTAAGACCTTAACTTGCCTTGAAAATCCTGAGGAAATAACATCTGAGTGTGGTTGGTGAACCGTGAAACGTTTAAGAGGATAACGTTCTGAACTACCTTATCTCTAGGTAAGTTAGGGAGTGTACAAATGGTGTATATAAAGTAAATGCCTAAAAGTTTGCATAAGACTGCCACATACTAGTGAAAGCATATATAACAGTGAACTCATGCAGAATCTCTTCTAATTATTTTAGTTTGATAACAGCTTTTTTCTACAGATGTTGTCTCTAGCTCATTAAATCAGAGTAGTTTTGAGAAAGGTGTCCTGCAGTCCACTTTATTAGATGAAGATAAAGTTCCTCGACCGGACCTTGATGTTTCAGCTATTACTGGTAAGCTTCCACTTATGCTCAATTTCTTGGCTTATTATTTTTAATGTATATATTATAACTTGATGATAAGTAACCCTTTTGTTCTACTATATATGCAAAAGGATTTTGTTAAATAAGATGAATGTTATTTCAAACGTCTTTAAGCAGAGGTAATGAGACCTTCAGGATTTAAATTAATCTCTCGATTTTTAGTATCTTTTGGGTGCTCTGTTCTTTTTGTTTCAGATCCAATATTAAAGAACAAAGCACCCTCAAGTCTTTGTTGCTATAACAGATGGGTGGTAAACTATCAGCCCTTCTGAAAATTGTATCACATCTATCTGTAACTGTCACTTAAAGCTAAATGCTCATGTGATCCCTGTCTTCTCGTGAGTATCATCAGAGCCAGAAATAGAGCACGAGTCTTCTTCACTGATGCATGTAATAATTTTGGAATTATCTTTACCTTTGAAGACTGTGACGGTACGTTGACCCACCCTGTATACTTTGGTAGAAGACAACAATAACTTTTCTGTTGTGATACAGATCAAACTGTCCGCAAAAAGATTCCTCCTTCAAAATCTGCTTCCGAAGAAAGTTCAAAGACAGCTGGAAATACCCAAGAAGTGGTGAGTCGCACTGGTTTCGTTTGTTAAGCTTATTTATTTTCAAATCTGTGAAATGAAGATTTTCTGTTTATCTTTAATCTTGATAACAACTTTGAGGTGCTGGGATGATCTAAAGCCTTCTGGCAGAAGTCAGAGGATAAGTCTGTTCTACTGCTAGCAGTGTTGGTTTGGTTTATCAGATGTCTCAGTGCTGACCGAAGCTTTGCTGCCATTTCTTGTGGTAAAGAGTTGTAGCATCTCTTCCAGTGAATCCTTTTTGTATTCCCCTCCATGCTTTTTAGTTATATCACGTTATTTTTAAATATTTTCTGACATTCTTGCTCAGAAAACTAACATTGATTCAACCTAGTTCGAAATGCCTTAGGGATCTCATTCAACATAACACTGAAACTTTAAGGTCTCTACTAGTATTAAGAAAATCTGCTGAAAATTTTATAAAAAGTGGGGGAACAAAGAATAAAGAGGTAAATTTAATTAACATGTTGTTTAAAAACCTAGACTTTTTCATTGAGCCGACTGTTGTTGATGATGATGATTCTGGGCACAAATTGGGCTTTCAGTAATTTATTTGAACATTGGAAAAATAATTGTTTAAATACCAAAATTGATATAGTATCTTCTTTTCTTTTCTGAAGAAAGATGATTCTGATTCTCTGATGGAAGAGCTGGAATCTCAGACGCTGCTTTTAACTTACCTAAGAGTAAAGGTGAGAGTGAAGTATTTGGTGTTTGAGGTAGAAGAACTTGATACTGAGGAATTATTTCATTTCTTTTCTATGCTTTCTGATCCTTAAAAGCTAGATTTTTTTGTGACATTATGTGTGTTTCGTTGTAAAACTACGTTACTTGCTTCAGAAACTCTCTTATATTGAGTGCCAGTTTATTAAGCTGGGGCTGGCTCCTCCTGCTTTGGGAAAACCATAAGTGAGTGTTTGGAGTTCAAGGTTGTAGCAGTGACTTTGTTCTGTGTTCGCTCAGTGCTATATATGTATATTTTTCCTTTGCAAAAAATATTAGCGGGGGTGGAGGAAGAAGATGGAGGGGGGTTTTGACCATAATGTACTGTGCTTATTGCATGACGTCTCAGATTCGTTAATTGAAGCTCTCTGACCTGGTCTGAGGTTCACATTTGTTTATTCAGAATATGGAAATTGCTTAGATGTAGCACTGCTTTAGTTGTGAATATTTTTTGGATGTAATAGGCAGGCAAAAATCTTGCCAAGGTGGAGAAGAAAGCAGAAAAAAACTTGCTAATGTTGTGTGAAGAAAAGGAGAGACAGCAGGAGAAGCTCTCTGAGTTGAAGCGTGAAGTTCTACTTGGAGAGAGCGAGCAGAGACTTGACGATGCGTTAGACAAACAGGTAGGCTTGGTTACAATTTATGCTTCTCCTGTATTTAAACAAGTTCACTTATGAAGTCCTTTATCCAGAGAAGATTTCTCTGCTTCTGTGGCCTGCTGGGGTACAATTTTATGCATCTTAAACAAAATAAATATCTACTTCCTGTTATGACGTGTAGCACTCTCTAGTAACCCAAGCAGATGCCTTTGTCACTTTTTTTGGTTGTCCCTTGTGGATAGGCAGGAAGGAGAAGTTGGAACTGTTAGGCAAAGGGGCAGCAATAATGCACGGGTTGCCCAAGCAGTTTCCAGTTAATGCACAGGAGATGCAAGTGTCCTAAACCATGTGAAAAAATAATCAGTCATTTCAAAGAAATTCTTGAAAATTAAAAAAAAGTTTGCACTTGTTCCTAGTCATAAACAATCTCACAAAAATCTCACTTTTGGAACTATTCCAATTGAAACCATACACTGAATTTATTAATACAGTATAAGTTTCTTTATGTAAAAAATCTTTATACATAGTAATAAAAAAGATAAAGGCAAGATGCATCAAACAGAAATCTGCTGGTTGTTTTTCCTCCATTCTGCAGTTGCACCATTGCAGTTAGGGCCAGAGCTGAGATGCTCACCCTTAGGCGAGAAGTGAACAACTTCTCTTCTTTTATTCGTCTGATTTTTGTGTGTTAGACAGCAATAGTTCTGGCCTGGTTGTAAGAAGGCAAGTTTCTAATGAAGTTCTTGATAACAGGTAATCTTTGAAGCTAAACCCTCCCTTCTTTTTCAATATTTTGTTAGTTCTGTTGCGTCAAATTAAAAAGTAGTACTTTATGAATAATTAATTTCCAAAACTGGTCCCATTTTTGCTTTTAACAAATATGCATTGCAAAAAATAAACAAGACTTATCTTCTGGAGAATATACTGTTAAAGACAGTCAAATTATCAAATATAAAACACTTTCCCTGCTATGTTGCTAATATCTCTGAGCTGCAGTAACAGGGAAACAGGTATGGACCTAGGCATTTGGAGGTGGCAGAGGAAAACCTATTAAATGGCATGATAGGAGTATCATGCCACAAACTTCTTGAATTCCTCTGTCAACAAGCTTTTCAGAGTGGTAATTGGGTTTTTTTATGAATTATTTTTCTGTATCGAGCCAGGTCTGTAATAATAAAATGGCTGCTTTTGAAGAAGCGTTGGTTCATCGTGTGTCTTTTTCAGATGGAAGTACTTTCTCCCCTTGTTCCTGTTTGTGAGCAGTTTAAAGAGCAGTATGAAAGCTTTGCAGTTTCCCTGGACACCACTAGACATGAATTACCCATAAAGGATATTCACATAGAAGGAGATATGCCAACGTATCTTGGTATGAAAATTCGATTCATCGAATTTGCTTACAGAAATGGTGGTTTTTGGTATGCTAAAATTCTTATGTTGTTATTACAAGATCTGTCTGTGGCCACTGGTAGAATTTTGTGTGCTCTTAGAGCTTGTGTGGGCTGCAGCATTAGTCACATGTTTTGCTATGAATAATTCTTGCCTCTGTTTAACCAGTCAGCTTGAACGAGTTTTTTATCTTGCAGCAGGAAAAAAAATTAACTTTCTAAGCTAGTGCAGTCTTCATATCCACTTTCTTTAGCAAGTTTCCGTGTCTTTGAGCTGTATTCACAGCATTCTTCCTCCTTTCTTGTTCCTAATGGGTAAGCAAGTTGTGGAAATACTGTGATCTCTTCTTGTTTCTGTGTTTGAGGGATAAAGTCACGAGGGCAGACTTGCTCATGTTTCCTGTAGGACTAGAGCTTAAATATATTGTGTGATGTCTTGAATCAGAGAATCTTTGTTTAATAAATTAGTACTTTTGTGTTGAAGTCTGGACAAAAAGTTACATTTTTAAACTGCTGGTCTGCAGGAAAAGAGATTCTTAAACCGTTTGTAATAATCTCGCTTACACTTTAAAACAAATGGAAAAGGTTTATGGAAGAACCTAAGATTCCTGTAAGAAATCTTGTAAAGGACTGGATAAATGTCATATTGGGGGTGCACGACAATAGCAATATATGCACCTGGCCAGGGAATTCTGGATATTTAAAACTTTTTTTTTTCTTGTAAAAATCTTTCACATACTCTAAATGAAAGCTTGATTAGCAATTTTAATGACGTGTTGCTGGTGTTAGTCACAATAGCTAAAAATAATTTGGCTTTCACAGTTTTCTCAGTGTTTGTGAAAGCTGAACAAACAGTAGTTTTCCATCATCTAATTCACCTGTCACTCCAGTTATTAAGTAATCTTGTATTAACTGATGCTTTTGCATACATTTTTGAATAATATTTTTAACATCTCATTGTAGGTAAACTGCAAAAGCAGTTAACTATCACGCAGGACCTTCTGACGGAAGTTATGCCAAGCTACTCAGAAGAAAGTGCAAAAGCTTGTAGTGCACTGAAAGAACTTAAAGAAGTGTCTCAGAATCTGGATAAAGAACTTCAAAGGTACTTAGAACAATCAGGTGAAAAGACTCGTTGGCTAAATATTCAGAGGAAAACCAATAGCTCTCAACAGAATGTATGTTGGAGAAGGATTAATTGAGGGGTAGTAGCACCGAGTTCAGTTCTGTTCGTGGCAGACATCTGTGTTTGTGTCCCTGCTCTACCTACAACCAAAGTAAAGATGCTTGGGTTTTTCTGTGTGTATGTTCTGAGTGAACTACTTCAGTGTGCCGTTTGCTGACACTTCAGCTGAGTATTTCAGCGACAAGAATAGCCCTGGTAAAGTGCACATATGTAGGGGAATGGAGAACTCCAGGAGACAAACATCAACGGGAAGCACTAGGTCTGAAATAACCATACAAATGTATCATGCTTTAGAAGGTACAAGGAGCACAGAAAAGGTTTTTTCCTCGAGTATTGTGTCAACAAATGCAAAGTATCATTGAGAGGATGAGGAAGAGGTAGAACATGATAAATTTCCCTTCCTTCCTTCATTTCCTCAGAAGAGATCACAACCAAAATCTTTGAAGATTGATAGACTGTAAAGCCATACATCTCCCATTCCTGCAGACTGCCACTCCTCTCCTCCGATTTCTAGCCTTTGGGAAGAAAATTCACATTTTATGTGTGGTTTTTTTTTTTTCTTCTGATGGCTGCATGGTAGAATGACGCGAATGCCTAGGCACGCAGCCTCTGAGGTTAGGCAGTTCTTATCCTTCAGAGTAACTGATTTAGAGTAACTTCCTTAATTTGTTCCAGGAGCTTCACACAAGTGCAGAACCTGTCGTTTGAAGTTAGTAAAGAAGTTTCTCTGCATAACCAAAGAATATGCGAAGAGAATCATGGACTAGATGTTGTGAAACACTGGTACTTCGACTAAGTTTGGCTATTATTTTACTAACGAGCGGGTATTAAATCAATGCCAGCATACGTCTTGAATGAACATATAACTGGACCAAATTTTCGGTTCTGCCAGAACATGAAACCAGCAGCATGTATGCTTAACAGTGTAAGAAATGGAGTTTTCTTCTGTGGGCTCCTGTAAGGAGGCGTCTTTTTTTAACATGGATTTCTGTGACACCTTTCTCATCACCTTCTGCCTTGACAATACTGAAAGGTAAATTATAAGGAATGTTCTTCTTGGCAAATATGACCCATGTGTTCTTAAACTTCTCGTTTTACTTTCTTGCACCTGGATTCAAGTGCATTGATTTGCATCTCTTTTCAAAGTAGTGTTCCTTAGAGGGCAGCGTATCGGAACGTAGGTGTGGAACTGTGTATGTGGTACTGTGTGTGTGCTGATCTCAGCAGAAGGATCTGTAGGAACGTACAGCATGATCATTGGTCACTCAGTGAGCAGCTTCTGGAGGAACTCTTAATTGTCCCTTATTTCTGGATTTGTTGAGAGGAAAAGCTACGTGATTAGCAAATAACGAGGCTGATGCTTGAAAAGGAGCCTGGGTCACTTGTTACAAGTGAAAAATTTTGGTAACTTGTTGCCTAATTGTCTTGGAAACAAATCATCGAAATCATAAATTATTCTGTATTAACCTGACCCCTTCTCTTTAAGGATTTTTATTTATTTATTTTTTTATAATAAAGACTATTTCCCACCGCTATATCAATAGCTTTCATGTTTGAATATCTTCACTGATCTCCTACAGAAGCTTCTGTTTCCATCTGAGCTTACACAGGGCTAATGCTACACAGTAAATGCAGTGGTGAACTTAGAGGCACTAGCCATGACCTGCTGGCACCCAAAGTGCTGAGGCTGCAAGATTGTGAATGTGGAGAGAAACCTCAAACCTAACTACTGAGTAAGTGCCTGAGAAAGAGTGGCATTGGAAATATTTTCCATTTTTATGCATGGAATGCATTACTCTCTGAAAGATGTGCTATATCCTGTATTTTTTGCCTGTAGAACCTCTTTCTGTGATGGTTTTTCAAAATTTCTGTTTTGTATTGTCTGCATAGTGGCTTCTGGCTTAAGCTTTGTCTATAAAGCTTTTTGACCTGCTCAAAAAATACTTGGAGCGTTCTCCTTGCACTCCTTGAAGCTCTATTCAAGCTTTCTTCCTGGTATTACTAGGGGTCTAACTAAATTCTTGTTGCCTTTTCTTAAAAATTAGGAGTAAATTAAACTATAGTAACTGGATCAGTGCGCTGGATGAGAAGTCAATATGTAACAAACTGTGAAGACCCTCCTTGTGTGTACTGTCAGTGTCGGGTTTTTTTTCAGCAACTTATCCATGAGCCAGTGGGAGGGCAATGAGTTATTTTAAGTTATTCATCTGTTATTTCTTCCTCCTCAAACGTGTTAGATGAGCTGCACCTAATCGTTCCCCTGTGTGTGCTGACATCCAGTCCATGAGTCAAAGGTGCTGCATGCAGGAGGATCATGCTCTGGGTCAGGAACATGAGCTGCACCTATGAAGTTGGCCACTGGATGGAGAACTTTGCTAAGCAATTAAGTCATAGGTTAGGTGCAAATTAGTAGTCTGTTAATGTTTGGTGGATGAGATCTCGTTAGAAAGGTTCCTGTGTAATGGAACTGCTGGTCAAACAACTGTTTTTCCTAGGCTTGGATAATTGCTAGGGTGTGTGTCCTCAAGCCTTTAACCTACTTATTGTGTGTCATTTTGAGACTCAGAAAATTAAGAAAGGTTGTCTTAATGTGAGAGGGGAGGGATGAAATGAAAATCAAGTTTTCTAGTGTCTTGATAAATCTGTCTCTGCACAGACACAAGTCAGAATGTCTTTCCTAGGATTTCTTGATGATGCACCTCATTGCTGGTCAAAAAAAAAAATTTTTTTAAAGAAATGCTTTTAAATTAAACCCATCCTCTTCAGTCAAGTGAGTTTCTAGCACTGAGATGCTATTGTGTGTGTGTATATATATACCCAAATATTACTTAAGCAACAGAGAGCAATACAAATTTTCACTATGAAGTGGAATACTCTTAGTTCTCTTCCCTGAAGAAGGGTGGCAGAGAAAGTTTCTGCTTCCTATGATCTCAGTTCTATGCTCTCAGTCTTTCGGGAAGAAGTTCACACAGAATCCCAGAATGTCAGGGATTGGGAGGGACCTCAAAGGATCATCTAGTCCAATCCCCCTGCCGGAGCAGGACCACCTAGATCAGATCACACAAGACGCGTCCAGGCGGGTTTGGAACATCTCCAGAGAGGAGACTCCACAACCTCTCTGGGCAGCCTGTTCCAGTGTTCTGTTCCCCTTACTGGGAAGGAGTTCTTCCTCATGTTTAAGCAGAACCTCCTGTGTTCCAGCTTAGATCCATTTCCCCTTGTCCTATCATTGGATGCCAGTGAGAAGAGCCTGGCTCCATCCTCATGGCAGTCACCCTTTCCATATTTATCAACATTAATGAGGTCCCCCCTCCGTCTCCTCTTCTCCAAGCTAAAGAGCCCCAGCTCCCTCAGCCTTTCCTCAGAAGGGAGATGCTCCACTCCCTTCATCATCTTTGTGGCCCTGTGCTGGACTCTCTCCAGCAGTTCCTTGTCCTTCTTGAACTGAGGGGCCCAGAACTGGACACAATATTCCAAGTTCATCCGTGCTGCTGCAGGCGGCGGTCACTATCTGCACAACAAGCCCAAGGCAAAGTGGGAGTCCTGGAGCTAAAGGCCACCTGCTGTACAAAGCCATATAGTGCTTGGGGATGAGCACTCGTTGTGTCAGAGGAAGCAGAGACATTGGTTTGAGCATTCCGGCCGTTCTTTTCCTCAAACTGAACACTTGTGCCATTCCTTGTACAAGCATTAGATAAAGCAGCTCAGCCTCTCCAGGAAAGGGTTTAAACTGCTCCGAACTGAGATTTTTTTTCCATCTTGATTTTCCTGAATGTTCTTTCTAAATGGTTGTGTTTTGTGTCTTTGCAAGAAGTGGTTTAGGTTCCTCCACCTTAAAATAGCCGCGGACTGAGATGCTGTCATATTTAACACTGTACGAACAAAACAACGACAAAGAACTACAGAAGCACTGGAGCAGGAGCTAAATAGATGTGACACCACTTATTTTGTATTTACCACTTATTTTCTGACAATGTCACGTGGTCTAAATCTACAATCCTAAACAACTGAAGGGCTTTTTTTATTCAAGTTATCAATCTTTTTTTTTTTAACTTAGAAAAAATAGTGTTTTCCCTTCTGTAACTTGTATCAATGTAGGTTTAGTTTTGTTCTATCGGAATTTTTGCAGTACTTATTACCTATCTATTCATCTTTTAGGCCAGAAATTCTTACTGACCAATTGTTAATGTTTATGTGTCTTAAGGTGCCTTTTTTGGGAGGTGGGAGGTGGACTTTTTTGTCTTCTAAAACCTGAAAGCAGTAGCGAAATGAGCCAGCTGGGTCTGAGAGCCTGGGTGGGAAGGGGGGAGCACAGAAATGTAAGTATTCTTCCCTGCAAAATTCTCTTAGTTGTCTAAAAAGCAATTGGCAGAGAGATAATTTTAAGATTATCTGCACAGATTGCCTGGATTCTGGTATTTCTTGAGGAGCACTGACCACGTGCTCTTCAGTTACGCCAGTGTTGCCTGACTGTTGTGACCACCAGCTCAAGGGGGCTGAGTCTGGGCATTTTTTGCTGTATTCCCTGTATTTCCTGTGCTCCCTGAGATAGGGTCACCAGGGTCAAGGTGAGGAAGCATCCCCTTTGCCTGTGGTGCTCTATGGTGGAGCTGAAGCCCAGGAGATAATCGAGGCCCGTTTGTCTCTTCACCACCACCCCCCAACCCTACAACTCTTTGTTCACACTAGCTGCAAATGGAGCTGATTCTTTGCTCTTCAACAGCAAGCAAGCAGCTCATGACCCCAGCAGATGTTTCTGCATTTTAGGCTAATGAGAACTTATTGGATTACTGCAGTCTTCCCTGCCTCGGAGTAAATACCACTTTGTTGGAGATCCGGAAACTCGTACTGAATATGATAAACAAACTGCTGGCTGGGCTGTGGTTGCCAGGACATGAAAAGAGTTCCACAGCATGGAGGACCTAACAGCTCTGAGCCACACCAATTAAGAGCATTTCCAGTGATTATGTGAGCATTCCTGTGCAACTCAGAAATTATTTTACGTTGTTTCTTCCGCTGCGTTTGTGTGTGGTCTGTAAAGTGAGCACAGGGATGGAGGACTAGATTTGCAGAGCAGTCTTCAAGGCCTCTGATTGGTTTCTTTTAACATTTCCATGATAATATGCGAGACCTATCGAGTTCCCTGCTGTTTCAAGATCTTAAATTCCGTGTGTTAAGGAAGCAAACACAATTTTTCTCTTAAGACATAACTAATTTTTTGTTTATATAGATAACATGTATTTGGAGATGGCCCATAGGATATCAAAACTGAATTCCTTGGTTTAATATCAGCTGCATTTTGGGGGTGGAAGTGAAACAGCTGATTGAACAGTAGAGTTTTGAGGACTACTGCCCAAAAAGATATTCTGTCTGTGGCTCTTTATCCTTTCAGCACTCGGGGTTCCTTGTACTTTTAGACAGTATCTCAGGAAGTGAAATGGTGAACAGCTATAGGAGTGCAGTGCTGATCCCCAGCTAAAGCAGGATGGAACTACCAGCTTGACTGGAGAGTCATGTTTGTACACTTCTACAACTTCAGGGTATTATGGACAAGGTAAGGATATTATCTATATAGGCAGTACCCAAAGATGTCGAGAGCCCTTAACCCTTTCTTGCTACCTTTTTTTTATCATGAGAAATTTGTCTTCACTGAACTGAACAAAATCAAATTTCTCAATATGATTTGTGTGATAAATGGACACTTCTACCCGTTCCTAGTTATAAAGATGTCCAGCTGAGTTTTTAATAGCTCTTAAGTGTGGAGACTTCACAACCTCTCTAGATCCCTTATTTACG